CGTTACCATGACAACAGATACCATCACAACTAACCTGCCCTGTCACAGCCGTTACCATGACAACTGAACTTGACCTCATCATTTAAAGTCTGTTTCTTTTGTACGTTTCTGTTTGAAGAACAAATCTTTTTTCTGACAGATTTCCGAGGTTGAGGATAATTTCCTGTGATAAACATCCTGTGTCAGGTTAATGTCAGGTCTTCATCAGTTAACATTTATAAACCTCAGATTTGTTTGTGCAGTAAAATAAAAGTGAATCCTTCTCGTACACGCTGCTCAACGTGAGCGCGAGTCGCTGCAGAGAGTCTGCAGCAGCCAACTCGTCATCTCAGCCGTCCTCATCGTCTAATGGCAGAGATATTAAATGACAGTGTCTTTAAATCTTATGAATATGAGGCCAGGCAGTCACGGCCAATACACATCAGTCTGCAGAACATCCTGTTAGCGTTATGAGCTCTCTGCTGCTGCCGCCGTCTGCTCCTCACCTCCATTATATGGCCGCGATGGGCCAGCTTCCCAGGCCCAAATTAAAAGAAGAGCAGCAGAGTCCTTGAAGATGAGGCCTCGTCGATGGAAATTAGCCTAAGTGTTGTCATTAATATTTCCCAGCGCGGGCTAATGTCTGCATCGTAATGTTAAGAACAGGATACACCCTCAGTATCTGCTGATGGAGGCTCTTTGGGGAGTTGGAAAAAACCTTAATGTGTCCAGAGATAAAGGCAAAAGCGGAGTTTTAGATCCAGTGAGAGCTGCTGCTGAAGTTTCTTCACTGTGGAGACGAGTTTCTGGATCCTTCAGTTTCAGTCTTTACCTGTGGATCAGGTGAGAAGGAGAATCTATTGACGTGGTGATGTTCAAACTTTCAGGTAAATCCTGATAAATGTGACCAGGCTCTCAGCAACGTAAACATCATGAGTTTGGTTGAACAAACACTCGTCGGTGAATCAGCAGATGTTAGTGGAGAATTGGCAGCGACATGTTCGTCCGCTGGAGAACGAACAGTTTATTTTAATATAAAACATTATATTATCATTATATTGCTTCACATTTGTTGGTTGGTTTGTTTTCGGCCCCTGATACTGTATTTAAAGATGGACCACATGACGGCTCCCAAACGTGAAGCCAAATCATCTGGTTTGAATTCAACTATATGATGATATCGAACGGGCTGTGACATCATGATTGACAGCTGAGACTGTGATTGGTTGAGCTCGATGCCACGGCTCCACTCCACCATCACTACTGTGACTTCAAATGATGTCATCACCACAAGATGGCAGCGTTTGTATGAAAGATACTTTAGCTTCATTTTTGTACAGTGGGAGGAAGTGGAGACGTGTCGGCCATCTTTGTTTACAGTCTGTGGTCGGCCCTTTGGCATGAAGCCATGAAACGAGTCCAAGAAAATAGTGACTCTAACTGTTCAGGACTTCTCTTTGTGTCTCAGGGTTTCGGTGACGGCTCCATCCTGCCTGAAAACCTTCGACAAGAAGAGGAGGAGGAGGAGGAGGAGCCAGAGCTGATCCTGGATGGAGGTCTGCCTCGCTACGCTACCTCCTCCCTGACCTCTGACCTCCTGTCTGTAGAAGAGGGTAAGGAGATGGCTGTGGACGAGGAGGAGATGAAGACAACAGAAGAGAGAGAGGAGGAGAAGATGGGTTCTCTCTCCAGGAAACCTCCCCCGTCATGGGAGGAGTGGAGGCTCACCTCCTTAGGCCGAACGAGACCAGAAGTGGTGAGAGTTCCACTGCATCTGATGATTTAGACTCCACATGTCCTCCATGTTCATGACTGCTCACACTCGATCATCTGCTCACACTCGATCATCTGCTCACACTCGATCATCTGCTCACACTCGATCATCTGCTCACACTCGATCATCTGCT